CACAGCGACGTCACTGTTTGGGGCAGGCTTTCCCCCACTGGATAGCTTGCCTGCTAAGGGAACAAGTGCGCAAAAGTGGGGGATCCCCCGGGCAAACCTGGGGAATGGTAAGCCTACTGGACCCCCTTCCAGACCCACCACATTCTCCCCCAGAACCTTGGGAAAGGATAAGGCAGAGAGCCAGGGTGGAGACTCTAAGAAGACACAGGAGTGTGTGTCCAGCAGCCAGCAGCCACTCTTCCTTTGTAGAAGCAGGGGACTCCAGCGATGAGCCTTTACAGGATCTGGGCCCTGCTGCTCCTCAGGAAGAGGAAGGATGACTCAGCTAAGAGCACTGACAGGACCCAGGTGCATGTGGAAAGGAAACTGGCTGCTTAGGCTGGCTGTGAGACCAACTTAAGAGGCTCTCCTCTCGTGGCTACTGGTTTGATCCCAGCCTTGCTTAAAACATCTTCACTGGTTAGAATGTGGCACTTTACCACAGCACTGCATACTTCCGATCCAAGGTTCGCGAGAAGTTGATGGAAAGGAATGAAATGTCATTTTTCTCCAGATCTGAACCTGACCCAAAGCTCATCTAAACTTTTGCTACAGAAGGCAGACATGTACTGAAGCAGTAGTGCCACCACATCTGTATCATTGATAGTATCACTACACACGTTGCACCGTGCGGGATTGTCCCGTTTACATGGGGTAATATACAGTTATTATCAGCCTCCTCGGTACTGCTAGTGATTTGTGGGCTGAAGGGTGGATGGGGAACTGGGGGGAAGGGGGGAACCAAAAACAAACCCATGCACAGACAAGTTGGAGTAAAATGGGCCATAGCTTTATTGGCTACAGCCATTGGAGCACAGGTGCAGAATAGGGCAAGGATCCAGGCACTGGGCAACCCCTGCCCCAGCCCCTTTACTACCTGGGGTGGCAAGTCTTGTGGTCCCACCTGGGAGCAAGCCTCTGTGTGGTACCCCTGGGAATGGAGCATGGCGATAGCCCCTGAGCTGAGCATGACACTGCCTGGCTCCACCCTGAGACTCCTTAAAGGGGTTCCCAAAATGGATAAGGCAATCATGCAGGCATGGCCTGCCCCCCAATAGATCCAACCCAATGCACAAACTGCCACCAGAGCATGGCAGAAAACACCTGCCAACTGCAAACATGTAGAATAAACACATGTAGAATAAAAATTTAAATGCAGGGCAAAAGTGGAGTGAAGGCGGAGAGTGCTGTGGAACGCAAATCCTCGAACTGCTCCGAATGCAGAGCAAAATGCCAACGCAGAAAAGGCCAATGACTGGCAGGCCAGCTGACCAGGCAGCCAGTGACTCGCTTGCTAGAGCTGCAGCCGGGGTCACTCCGTGGGCTTTTTGTTGTTGTTGTTGTTGTTCAAAATATTTTTATTATTTTACAACATTAAACCTATAACAACAAGGTTAACCTATAACAAATAGCAGCATAATCGGCTACCAGTTGTAGAGGAACTCTTCACTGTACAGATTATCAATGAAGTTAACAGTGTCATAACAGTTCTAAAGCCTCTTTCTTTCTTTGCAATTAACTTACATAAACGTAATTATATCCCGATACTTGTTCGGCACCAAAGGCAGCAAGTGAGACGAGCGCTCCAAAGCATATTCCGTAAAAGGACGCCCTTTGAGTAAAGAACTGGTATTAACGTTCATGTTCTCCATATATGCGATGGAGTCTGCTATTTTGTCCATTGCTAGCAGTTCCCGGATTTTGGTAAACCAGCGTGTAATAGAAATCGGAGTAGAGTCTTTCCAACTAGCAGCGATGACTGTTTTAGCCGCTGACAAGAGCATGGAGATAAACTCCCGGCGTATACGTGGTATCCAGTGTTCCCTCTAAGCTGAGTTAGTGTGGGCTAGCTCACAGGTTTTTAGCCTCCTGCTCACACGTTTTTGCCTTCGCTCAGGAAGAAGGGCTCCAGAGCAAACTAATTGATGCAGTAGCCAAATCGCTGGCTCACCACTTTAATGCCAGTAGCTCACAAAATAGGATTTTTGCTCACAAGACTCCACAGCTTAGAGGGAGCATTGGTGGTATCTTGGCGTCCTTCCACAAGTCCCACAAAATTAATTCGGGTAAATTGTCTAATCTATAACCTGTAATATCTTTAATATGGTTTATTACCATGGACCAAAAGTTTGACACTAATCTGCACTCCCACCAACAGTGCATAAAAGAGCCTTGTGACCCACACTTCCTCCAACAGAGGGGTGAGTGCTGTGATGAGATATGGTGCAATTTTTGTGGAGTGATATACTACCTCATCATAAGCTTGTGACCCTGAAGGCGTATGTTTAATGCTTTTGAGGTAAGAGTTTTGGATGACCAGATCACTTCCCAATCCCTTTCAGTTAATCTAGAATTGCAATCCAACTGCCAACTATTTTGATAGCAGGCTTAGTGCTACACAAGGTTCCCTGCCACTGCTATGGCAAGGAAACAAGAAACCTTCACTTTGAGCATGTGACACAGGACTGTGGAGTTAGCAAACATCTGACCTGCTATGTGAACTTCTGCTCAGATGGCCAAGTGCTAGACATCGTCTCAGAACAAACCCAGTTTGCAGCAACTTGCCCACCAAATGTTTCCTGAGCAAACCAAAGAGACACACATTCCGTTAATTACAAGCAGGGCTATTTTTGGGCAGGAACACACAGGAACGGAGTTCCGGCTGGCTCCCAAGTTGGCCACGCCCAGCAGGAACTCATTAGCATAATAGGCCACACCCAACAGCAGAAACTCATTAGGATTGGCTACATTAGGAATGTGTGTGGCCTAACATGCAAAGGAGTTCCTGCTACAAAAAAAGGCCCTGGGTTTTGACAACAAACAAGGTAAACAGAATAAGAAGCAAAAGGTAGGTGTGGCTGGATAACCACACTTCTGGTAACATGTGGGTGCGGCCTAATGTGCTAATGAGCTGTGCTGTCAGGGGTGTGGCCCAATATGCTAATGAGTTCCTGCTGTTGGGTGTGGCCTACTATGCTAATGAGTTCCTGCTGGGCTTTTTCTACAAAAAGAGCCCTGATTACAAGTGGGATGATCTTTGATGCTCACTGCTGATGAAAAGATTATCACAGTGGGACTATACTTGATTAATGAGAAGGAAATCAGTAGCAGTACTGAGGAGGCTGATTGTTCAATCTGCAACTGCTCCGTTATTCCTCATCGGAGTATGTTCCAGAAATACTGATGTGGAAGTGTTTGATGAACTGAGATTTATTCCCTATACACAAATGACCAAATGCATGGATATGTTCCCACCTACTTCAAGCTCCATCAGAGAACATATCCAACAGCCATTTCTAGTCATCAGAGAGTCACTTATACTCCTCTCTCCTAACTATTCAATGCTAAACCCTGTGGACAATGGCTGGGAGAAAGTGGACAGGCATTTGAAACCTCCAAAGTGTCTCAGATAAGGAATTACTGACACTGTGTGGCTCTAAAACTTGTAGATCTAATGCATGCAGGTGCAAGAAGGCTGGACTACCCTTTTCTGCTAAGGTCAAAAGAATTGTAAAAATGTTGCACAGAAATTACTTTTTGTATTAGGACTGTAAGCTTTGCTTAAGAATAAGAATGTAACCAACATATAAGCATGATAAATATCAAACAAGCACTCTGATATTTTGTTTGCTGTTATTTTAGGCAACAGAATAAATAATTTTCTGTACTTTTAGGAACTGTCACCTTAACAATTCTCCTGCTACATTGTCCTAGTGTCCTAGTACTACCAACATTCAGCTTGTCTGTATTTATCCTTCCCCAAATATTACAAACTTTAAAGAATAATACATTATTTTGTTTTTTCAACAAAAGGACTGGTATATTTGGTTTTATCGACCCCCAAAACATGGTTTGACACCAATATGAGGATCCTACAAGAATGTGGAAAAGGATCCGCCATCTTGCAAAATGGCAGCTAGAGGAAAAATGGCTGTCTCTACAACTAATATAATACTGTCTTTGGCTTTATTGACCTCAGAAACATATATTTTGACACCAAGAAGAGCACCCTATGTGAAGGTTAAATATTACAATAAACATCCACCATCACTCTGCCAGAGAATATCCGTGCCCTATGGGATCTATTACCTTTCCATAGGGCCTCCAAGGCAGAGATGTTCTGCCAGGCATTCGTTGAGGACAGCAAGAGTTGGCATTCTCATACCCTCCTACTCACCCTCCGCACCCCCTTTACCCAGGGGGCTGATGGGAACAGAAATTTCTCGTCCTCTTAGACAATGTAATGTACTGCTTGATTAATATATTGTTTTTAGTAGTTTTTAATGTTATTTAATGGATTATTATTGTGTTGGTTTTGATGTAAGCTACTCTGAGCCCTGCTTGCAGGGAAGGGCGGCCTAACAAGTTGAATGTAAAAATAAATAAATAAATAATCAATCAAAATAAATAATCAATCAATCAATCTTGGGAAATGGTGGCTACAGGGAAAACATCCCAAAATAGGGATGTCTACCCAAGGAAATTTTAAAGCAGTAGTGCCCTGAAATACACACAAACAATAAAACTGTTTGTGTGTATGTGTATTTTTACACACACGCACATTTGCCGGAGTAAATGGTGGATCTAGGACTATAGCAAAAGGATTTTACCTGCAGTCATACAGTGAAGTTGGGTATGCAATAGTTTTTAAACTGTATGTTCATTTTAAAAGGCATCCTGTTAAACAGAGCTTCTGCCTGAAATGCTGAAGACTTAGTATTAGAATTATGCAAGACCTCGCTCCCTGACATCTTGTGGTCAGCTCTGCCTCCCGAGGCAGTCGTTTTGTGATTGCACCCACCACCCTATGTCAGAATTCCAAAGGTGCCCGCAGACTCAGAAAAAGTTGGGGACCCCTGCTCTACACATCAGTGGCCTTCAAAAGGTGCAGCTCTGTTTCGGACTCTGCACTGCCAGCCTAAAACTTATCATGCTGATCCACTGTCCTTCTCCCACAACAGTGGGATCTGGTCTGTGACTTGCGGAAGCTTCGGGAGATGGCCCAGTCAATCTACATGGCCGGTGTGCTGGTTGGAGCACTGGTTCTTGGCGGACTATCTGACAGGTAAGTCGGATAGGGTGGCAGCCTAAGGTGGCATAACCTAGCTTGAGGTTAAAAATTTGTGAGCTGGAGGCTAAAAAACTGTGAGCTAGCTCACACTAACTCAGCTTAGAGGGAACGTTGGGTGAATACATAGGGTCTACCCTCCAGAGTATCCATTATCTCCAGGAGAACGGATTGCTGCAGCCTGGAAATCAGTTGCAATTCTGAGGGCTCTCCAGGCCTCACTTGGAGGTTGGCAACTCTAGACTAGCCCCCCCTCCCACAAGCCCCTTGATTTGGTTCTGGCAAGGGGCTGATTGAAGCAAGCAAGAATCCAGCTCCACTGCTGCCTTCGCCAGGCCTGATTCAGCTGCTTTTGCTCTCTTCTCTCTTGTAGGTTTGGCCGCAAGGCTCTCCTCATTTGGTCCTTCCTGCAAATGGCCGTCATGGGGACCTGTGCGGCCTTCTCACCCAACTTTGTTTCCTACTGCATCTTCCGGTTCCTGAGTGGCATGGCGCTCTCTGGCTTCGGCCTCAGCATTGCCTGCTTGAGTAAGAGCCTTCTTAAGGGGAGCTGGAACCAAAATGACATACGCTTTGGGAATCCCGCCGTTTTTGAAAACTGGGATTTAGACATTCTTAATTTTGCATGTTGATTTAAAATTTTCATTTTCGTTTTCATTTGGCATGGAATTGATAACAAGCCACAATGTTTATTTGTGCTGATGGCTTTTTAAAAGCCACTCTAATAGAAGGTAATTCCACATGGGCCAACCATGTGAGTCTGTGGCCAAAAATAAAACAGCAGCCCAGTTCTTTTGTTAGTCTTCAAAATTCCACTGGACTCTTGCTTTGTTAATATGCCTGTCCATAGCACAGATCATGGCCAGTTTCACTATGACGATTCTAATTATATTACGACAGTACCTTCAAGGTACATAGTACTTTACAGAATAACATATGCAAGAAAGAGAAGCAGGTCCCTTAGAATCTAAATTTTAATTGTGGAAGAGAGAAGCCATAGCTCAGTGGCTGAACACATGCTTTGCATGTAGAAGGCCACAGGCTCAATTCCTGGCACCTCCAGATGGAAGGACTCAGGTAGTAGAGATTGGGATATACCCAGGGGTCATTTCCTGCAGGAGCGCACAGGAGCAGAGCTCCGGCAGTAAAGAGCCCAGGGGGAGGGCACATGCAACAAGCCCCATCCCCTGCTCCCAGCAGTCAGAGCAAGAAGCAGCCATGTAAGTTGCAGGGCTCCCCCCCTGCCCCCCCCCGGCCCAAAACAGTCCAGTGGCACCTTTAAGACCAAGTTGTATTCAGGTACAAGCTCTCCCTCCTCTGCGAGGACAGATCTGCACGTCCCCCCCCCAATAGCTAGCAATCCAAAACAGTCCAGTGGAGCCTGAGCGGTGGGTGTCGCCTTCTGACACACTTCCGGTGATGTCAGGGGGTGTGGCATATGCAAATACGTTATGCTAATGAGTTATGCTAATGAGCTCCTGCGCCTCTTTTTCTACGAAATGATCCCTGGATATACCTGTCTTTGCCTCAGAAACTGGTAGGGCTACTACCTCTAGTTTGGGAAATTCCTGGAGATTTGTGTCATGCAGTCAGTCTTCCAAAGTTGCTGTTTCATCGGGGGGAACTGATTTATGTCATCTAGTGATCAGTTGTAATTCCAGCAGTACTGGAGGCTGGCAACCTTAGATACTTCAGAGTCATTCACAATCAGAGGGTGGACAAGATTAAACCAGGGTTGCTTCAAAATGGCAGTTAGTCTATGTGGAGCTCTCATCGCCACTGTATGCACTGGATCTTCCTCATGGCAGTTTCCCCCTCATTTCCCTTGCCTTGGGTCCCACAGCTACAACTTCCCCACCCACCACATGAAGGCTTTTAAACAACAACCACAACCAGCAATTGCTAAATCATTACAATGCTACAATGTCATAACTGTCCATTGCCACGATCTGCCAGTGCCTCTGATTCCCCAGCTTTCGTTTTTAAAAGAGTAAGTCTCTAGCCCTTCTTGTTGCAGAGATATAAGGGGTGCGCACTCTAGCCACTACACCACGCTGTCTCTCAATCATACCAACAGATTATTATAACGTTATTGCACTGTAGTAATCTATCAACTCCTGGGATTTTTCTAATTATAGAAAAGAGTCCTCCATGGACATGGGGGGAATGGTGGCTGTGGAGGGGCTGAGTCAAGGGACATGGTGCCAGTGTGGTCGGGACCTTCAAAAATGCATATCTTTCCACCCACGTAGTCTCCAAAGATCTTGGTCATCTGGAGATCAACTGTAACAGTGGGAGATCTCCAGGTACCACCTGGAGGCTGGCAGCCCTGTGAAAGGGGTTCTTTTCTTTTCTTTTCCAGTTGTGGAGTGGATCCCCACCCAGTACCGGACCATCACCATAGCATGCACTGGCTTTGGGTACACACTGGGCCAGATCATCCTGGCTGGCTTGGCCTACGGAATCCCAGACTGGCGTATGCTGCAGCTGGCTGTGTCAGTGCCCTTCTTCTTCTTCCTCCTCTACTCATGGTATGTGCTGCTAGGGGGCGGCCCCCTCGCTCTCCTCCCAGGGTGCTGCAGAGATGGTTGGCAGAGGACGCAGCAGCCGGAAGGGCTAGGAAGCTGTATGACTTCCGTTTTTCTTTAATGTGGGACACGTTCTGTTTTCAATTAAAACGGCTCCTTTCCCTGAAGGACTGTCTCTCCCAGCAGGTCAGCCTTTAGGGTCCTCACAAAAGCCTCTTTTGATGGTGTCTGTCATTCACCTGGCACCCACTTCCTTGGCAGGGCCTCATGCCTTCCCATTCTTGGAATGGGCCTGTGAAATGGACTGCCTAAGGACATTTTCAGTTTTTAATTGCTATCTTTTGCAAGTGATCGTTGTAAGTTGCTTTGAAGAGGGTATATTTTAAAAAATACTAATAATAACCAACCCAACTTCAACTCTGATTCTGAGAGAAAGGACAGAGAAGCACAGTCGGTATCACATTATATTGAACTAGAATGGGTAGTTTAGAACCCTTGGTGCAAAAAATCTGCCCTCTAAAAAGAAGGCGAGAATCTGGGCACCTTTGTGAGTGGGAAGACACTTAACTCCCCTTTGGCTGCCTGCCTTTGTTAAGAGTAGTAAAAATTTATTTAAAATAGTTTTAGCCCACTTTTCTCCCCAGATTGGACCCAAAGCGGCAAAACTGGTGCTGAAGCTGAAAGGAAAACTTGCACATTTCAGTTTCAGATGCCAGTGGCTGATTCTGCATTGGCTTTGCCCTCCGTTGTTTTACAAAACCCACGTTGGAACAGAAATTCCCCTCTGCATTGCATGCCGCATTCCTTTCAAGAGGAATGTATACAGAAAATATCACCAAGAACAAATGTTGACTTGAGAAAGCAACCCCATTTCCTGGCAAGTGAATTCAGGTTAAGCAAATTGCTCAAGAAAATAGGTGGGGAGATTTGACTTGTTCACCTGTGTTTTGTGGATTGGCCTGTTGGTTCAGGGGATGTCGCCTCTTGGCTTCTTTTGCACAGGTGGTTTGCAGAATCGGCTCGCTGGCTACTTTTGGCGGGGAAATCTGGCACGGCCGTCAAAGTCCTCCAGAGGGTTGCCCGTGTCAATGGAAAGCAGCAAGCTGGAGCTGAGATCACCACTGAGGTAAGGTGGAAGGTTTGGTCTCCAGCCTGAGGGACCCAGCTGGATCTTTGCGGAAGTGGGTCTTGTCTGTGGGAGACCACTAGACGGCATCAGCCTAGTGTGTCCTCTGCTTGCTGGGTTCTGGGGCCATGGTTGCTTCCATGACAAAGGTTTTGCTCTGGTTTGGTATCCAAACCGCAGCAGGGTTTCTTCTTCTTTTTTTGCTTGGGGGGGGTGAGCATCCATACGACACTGCCCCCTGGTCATCCACTTTGCATGTATTCTACTGCTGTCATGCAATCTTTCCCAAGCCTGGTATGATATGCAGGGGTCATTTCCTGCAGGAGCGCTCAGGAGCGGAGCTCCGGCAGTAAATAGCCCATGGGGTGGGCACATTCAATAAGCCCCACCCCCCTGCTCCCAGCAGCCCTCAGTCAGAGCAAGAAGCAGCCAGGTAAGTTGCAGAGCCCCCCCACCCGGTCCAAAACAGTCCAGTGGCACCTTTAAGACCAAGTTTTATTCAGGTACAAGCTCTCCCTCCTCTGTGAGGACAGATCTACACCCCCCCCCCAATAGCTAGCAATCCAAAACAGTCCAGTGGAGCCTGAGCAGTGGGTGTTGCCTTCTGACACACTTCTGGTGATGCCAGGGGGTGTGGCATATGCAAATAAGTTATGCTAATGAGTTATGCTAATGAGCTCCTGCACCTCTTTTTCTGAGAAATGACCCCTGATGATATGATCTTTTTGGAAAGATTGCAGTCAAATTGTCTTTGTGTACCATGTGCATGAGAAGATGAGCATTTTTGTAGGTCCTGACCACTTTTTTTTTTTTGCCATCAGTTCACAGCTTAGTTACAGCAGTTTTTATTCTGATTTTAATGTTTTATATTTGGCACTTGGTGCCCTTGTTGTGAGCCGCCCTGAGCCCGCATGCGGGGAGGGCGGGATAAAAATGTAATAAATGAATGAATGAAATGAAACCTTGTGGGGTTTTCAAGGCAAGAGACCAACAGAGGTGATTTGCCATTGCCTGCCTCTGCAGAGCCCACACTTCCTTGGTGGTCCTCCATCCAAGACTAATCAGGGCCGACCCTGCTTAGTCTCCAGGATCTGATGAGATTGGGCTAGTCTGGGCTATCCCGGTCAGGGCTCTGGGCTCCTGGCCACGTGGGCACCATTTTCTTTGCCTCAGCCGACCACCACCAGAGATTTTTTAAATGCTTCCCCTCCCAAGACTCACAACAAAAAGGGCTAGAAACTTACTCCCCCCCCCAATGAAAGTTTGGAATTCAGAAGAACTTGTAGACTAAAGTAATAAATTGTTGTTATTGGGCTATAACCATTGAGCAACAGATTCAGGTGTGGTCTGAAGGAATAGAGCAAAGTTTGAGTCCAGTGGCACCTTTAAGACCAACAAAGTTTAATTCTGGGTATAAGCTTTCTGAAGAAGTATGTACGTACACAGAAGCTTACACCCAGAATTAAGCTTTTTTGGTCTTAAAGGTGCCACTGGGCTCAAACTTTGTTCCATCGAACAACAGGGCTGACTTTACAAAAGCCCCCCCAGAGCCATCCAATGGCATGAAAAGGAAATGGTGGCTGCTGGGGGCTGAGGCGAAGAAGGAGCGTGGAAAACAGGCCGGATGGGGGCTCCCTTTCTGCTGCAGAGACTGAAAGAACTGAACTACATTACATTTGACAGATGACCATCAAGTGACTTAAGGTCCGATGTCACTGGCATTTCCCCGCTGGAATAGGTTGCCAACTCTAGGTTGGGGAATTCCTGTAGATTTGGGGGAAATTAGCAGAGATGCGATGCTATAGAGTCCACACTCCAGATTTGCCATTTTCTCCTGGGGAACTAATCTCTATAGCTAGTTGTGATTCTGGGAGAGCATCAGGCCCCACCTGGAGGTTGGCAACTCTACCCTATCAGTTCTCCAGCACACAGGGACCCAGTTTGGACCTGAACAACACCACATGAGGAGAATAGGGACCTGTCCCCCCCCCAGATATTTTCCTGACCCAAAACAGTAAGGGGGGTTCTATTTGGCCTCTCGGCAGCTGCATCGATATGTTTGGCAGCCCATCAGTATATCTGCAGCCACCAGCAGGGCAAATATTGCTCCTGAGAGTCATTTTGGGTCAGGAAAATGGGGACACCATGTCCCCATCCCAATTATGGACCCACATGCCTGAGAGGGGAAGGGCTGTGGCTCAGTGGAAGAGTCTCTGCTTTGCATGCAGATGGTCCCAGGTTCAAACCCAGGGATCTCCAGTTAAAAGGACCAGGCAGGAGGTGAAAGTTCTGCCTGAGGCTCTGGAGAGCTGCTGCCAGTCTGAGTAGATAATACTGACCTTGATGGACCAATGGTCTGATTCATGTGTTCATGTGAGAACTGGGTTCAAAGGGAGAACTCACATTACTGTTAGTCTCTCTGGTGATCATGTGCCGTATGTAACATGCACTTTGTCCCAAATTGCCCCTTGGCACTTCCTACTGGTGGAACATAATATTTTCATCAGGAAAACTGTGTATCTGCCCTGAAAGGCAAGCAACCATCTCCGGTCTGCCATTGCATCATGCGCAGTGGCAACTCTGGGGGCTGTAGCTGCCACTAAAGGGCACCAATAGCAATGTTTCTCTGTATTTGGACTCCCCTCCATTCTTACCAGGGCTGGTCCGTCCATTAAGTGCACCTAGGCAATTGCCTAGGGCACTGGAGGTGGAGAGGCACCCAGACCCACCCTGTCATCGCCCCACCCACAGTGCTGGGGTTTGCCACAACAAATGGCAGCACTGTCTGCCACCCGCGGCCTCAGTGGGCAGCCTAGGGTTGCTAACCTCCAGGTAGCTCCTGGAGATGTCCTGCTATTACAATTAATCTCCAGACCACCAAGATCAGTTCCCCTGGAGAAAATGGCTGCTTTGGAGGATGGACTGTATGGCACGATACCCTGCTGAGGTCCCTCCCCAAACCCCATCTGCTTCAGGCTCCACCCCCAAAATCTCCAGGTATTTCCAGATCCAGAACTGGCAGCCCTAGGGAAGCCTGTGCTAAGCCTACTCCTTTCTTTCCTCTGTTGGGAGCAGGGCAAGTAGTCTTCCTCCTTCCGTTGCCCCCTCAAGGCTGGGGCTGTGGGCATGCTGGGCGGTGTGGCCCATTGCCCAATCTTAGGAGGCACGGTGCTTCAGCAAGCCCCAGCCCCAGCAAGGGCAACGTGAGTGTTGGTGACTTCCCTGCAGTGAGGGTGGGTCGCAGCTTCCTCTCTGTGCAGAGGAGGGAGGAGTGGGTGGCAGCAGGTGTGGGGAAGAGGAGGGCAGGCAGTGACTTCCCTGCAGTGCAGGGGGGCAGCAAAGTCATTCACCTCGGGTGCCAAAAATCCTTGGACCAACCCTGATTTTTACATGCTCGCCCTTTCTTGTTTTCTTTGGCAGGTGCTGCTTTCCAACATGGAGAAGGAACTGTCTTCCACGAAGTCCTCTTACACCTTATCTGACTTGGTGCGCACGCCAGCCATCCGACGCATTAGCTGCTGCCTCTGCTTGGTGTGGTAAGAGGGCCAGCCCAGTATGTGCAGCTCAAGGAAGGAAGCACTCTCTGAAAAGCCAAGGAGGGGATGTTCAGGCACTTTGAAAACCTTGTTCCTTACTCCACACGCTTATCTGTTACTAAAGCAGAATGACAGTCATTGCTGCTTTGAAAGCAAATTAAAATGCATCATATTGCATGCTTTGGAACAATACCGTTGACGTATATCTGTATTGTCCCATTCTGTTTGCGAAGCTTTGAGCTAGGTATTGTTTTTACAAGGTCTGCTTGCAAGACCTTAGACATGAACTCTTAAAATAATTCTGATCAAGCAGTATCTAAGTTAATGAAAACTGCTCAGTACCTACAGTCTTGTAAAGGAACAGAGGCCTTATAACTAAGGCTTAAGAGACATGACTGACAGTTATGTGGCAGAGTGCAAACAAATTATCTCGCAAGTGATTTGAGGTGTGTGGCAAAATGTTTTGCTTTCATTGAACCATGGCAGCCACTTTATATAGATGCTTATCTGCCCATCAACACTGCCTGGGAATCATTAATGACAATAAAATCAACAAGGCCAACATTTACAAGGCAAGTTTTCAAACTTTGAAGATCAAAGAGTTTCAAGTGCCAATAGGAAGTAATTTCCCAGTCTGGTCTTTCACATGTGTCTTCTGTTCTATTGAACAACCCTGTCTCCATCTTCACGATAGGTTCTCCGTCAGTTTCTCCTACTATGGCTTGGCCATGGACCTCCAGAATTTCGGTGTTAGCATCTATCTCATCCAGGTGATCTTTGGAGCGGTTGACTTCCCAGCCAAGGTGATTGTGACCATCACCATGAGCTACTTGGGGCGAAGGGTCAGCCTCATGGCCTTCCTCATCCTGGCTGGCCTCGTCATCATCGCTAACACCTTTGTGCCCCCAGGTGAGTTTCTCATCACTCAACACCCCTGCAGCTTCTTCTGATGAAGTTGGCTTTGACCTGGGAAAAGTTATAAACTTGTTGTAGACTTCAAGGTGCCACAAAGCTCTTCATTCTTTCAATAAAGCATAAGTAGTCTTTAAATGTTGTTCAGTCGCACAGTCGAGTCCAACTCTTCGCAACCCCATGGACCAGATCTCGCCAGGCCCTCCTGTTTTCCGCCGACCTCTGAAGTTTGCTCAATTTCATGTTCGTTGCATCGATGACACTGTCCAACCATCTCATCCTTTGCCGTCCCCGTCTTCTTTGACCTTCAGTCTTTCCCAGCATCAGGGTCTTCTCCAGTGAGTGCTCCCTTCTCATTTGGTGGCCAAAGTATTTGAGCTTCAGTTTCATTATCTGTCCTTCCAGGGAACAGTCAGGGTTGATTTCTTTTAGGATTGACTGATTTGATCTTCTTGCAGTCCAAGGGACTCTCAAGAGTCTTTAAATAGTAAACAGTAAAAAGCTAGGCTGAGGTATTCAGTTGTATAATCAGTTTTATTAATTAAAATACTCCTAATTAATCAGATTTTTATAATGTTTTTAAGGCAATTAGTTAAATGCAGTGGGTGTTAGGCATAGGTGCTGTCCTCTGCTAGAAGAGGCATTCTCTCATTCTGTCTTTCATAGCACCAGTTTGGTGTACTAGTTGAAGAGCAACGGACTCTAATCTGGAGAACTGGGTTTGATTCCCCACTCCTCCACATGAAACCAGCTGGGTGACTTTGGGTCAGCCACAGTTCTCTCAGAGCAGTTCTCTCCGAGCTCTCTCAGCCCCACCTACCTCACAGGTTGCCTGTTGTAGGAAGAGGAAGGGAAGGGGATTGTAAGCTGCTCTAGACTCCGAGTGAAAAGCAGTGTATAAATCCAACTCTTCTTCTTCTCAAACAGTGTCAAATGACGTATGAGTACATGATCTCTAACCCCATCGGGGGAAATGTATTTAACCACATTTGTCCCACTGTAATTGAACGATTCATCCATTAAAGTGGCAATCCTGTGTAGATTTACATGAAGCTGCCTAATACTGAATCAGACCCTTGGTCCATCAAAATCAGTATTGTCTGCTCAAACCAGCGGCAGCTCTCCAGGGTCCGATAGAGGTCTTTCACATCACCTACTACTTTCTCCATTAAAATGGAGATGCCAGGGATTGAACCTGGGACCTTCTGCATGCCAAGCAGATGCTCTACCAGTGAGCCATGGACCATAGTTGGAAAGTAAGGCCCACTCGCTTCTGAGTAAGCCAATGCACGGCTGAGCTGTAAAATGTATATAATTAATCAGCTTCCTTAACTGGGTAGCTGCCCTCCATTAAAAGAGAAACCATATGTAATTTCTAATGGGAATTGCTAGTGGGGCTGTCTGTGATTATTTAGCTATGGAGGAAAAGAACTCTGCACATGCTCAGAGACACCTCCTTTCTAACTGTACTTGTTCACTATTGGCAGGAAGGGTTTGTTTGTTTTTTAATTACAGGAGCTGTCCAAAGTATATCTTGTCTCATCACCCACTCCCCATCAGAACTGACACAGTCCATAGCACCTCAGGACTGTACCACCTAATTCTGCAGCATATGTAGATCAGACCTAAATGGACATGAAACTTCTTTGTGCCATCAAACCATTAGTCAATCAAGCTCAGTATTTATTGTCTGCTCTGATTGGCAGCAGCTCTCCAAAGTCTCTTTAAATTGAAGATGCTGGAGACTAAAACTGCCAAATTCTGTGTGCTCTAAGCCACAACCCAATGAAGGTGTGAGTGGTTTGAACTGAAAAGTATTATGGTGGTATGAACCTCTCTCTCTTTCTCTGTGGTGCTTTGGTCTGGGATGACTGATTCACACAGAGAAATGGGCACTGTGTTCAAATCCTGCCATCTTTGTGTCTTCCTTCTTTTCCCCCTTAAGAGTTGCAGACACTTCGGACATCACTGGCAGTCATTGGGAAGGGGGGTCTTGCAGCAGCCTTCAATTGTGTCTTCCTCTTCACGACAGAACTCTACCCCACACCCATCAGGTGAGGAGCCATGAAACTGGCCACCCTTGGCTTTGGATGAAGAGAGGACATGGAGATTTTAACATGTGGTGGCTTAAATCATGCTATGACCGATTTCCCACAAGCTGCTGCTCCGCCCTCGCTCATCCCCCCCCCCGATTGTATGTGTCAATTTCCCATTATTTGCACCGCAGCTTTGCCCGATTTCCCCCGCATCTACTTGATCCTGTTTTTTGAGGATCGAGTAGACACAGGGGAAATTGGGCGAAGCTGCGGGGCAAAATGTGGCTGCACAGCAAATACTGAGAAACTGACACATACCATCGGGGGAAAGGGAAGAGTGAGGGCAGAGCAGCGGCTTGTGGGAAATCGGTCTATGGGTGTGTTTGATGCCAGGCTCAAACAACAGCACAGCATGTCTCCCCAGTCCAGACGTAAGGGACCATTCTGAGTGGTAGGTAGGTGACCACTGAGTACTTCCTTCCCCTAAAAGTAGCAAAATGGGTACTCACGGGTCCTCGGTGGGAAAGAAAAAAACACACTCACACACACAGCTCAGGGAAGAACCCTGTGGAATTTGTGGTGATTCTGACACCTGGAGAATTGATTCTATCACTCAGAGCAGGGGCCATTTCCTTTAGGAGCGCACAGGAGCGGAGCTCCGGCAGTAAAGAGCCCAGGGGGCGGGCACATGCAACAAGCCCCGCCCCCTGCTCCCAGCAGCCCTGGGCTATGAGGAGCAAGAAGCAGGCAGGTAAGTTGCAGTGGGTGCTGCCTTCTGACACACTTCCGGTGATGTCAGGGTGTGTGGCATATGCAAATAAATTATCCTAATGAGTTATGCTAATGAGCTCCTGCACCTCTTTTTCAACGAAATGACCCCTGACTCAGAGTATATGTTGGGGAGTGTTGAGCAACCACAGTGCTTAGGGACAGGAAAGAGAGCTCCCCAAATTTGCTGCAATGATTCTTGGCTGTTTCTCGTAGCCCTACAGTGGTTAAGGATTGTAACAGGCAGATGCAATTGCCTCCAGGTCTAAGGGAAAAGGGAGAGCGGCCCTTGATGTTGCTGGTGGGATGCAATGCCCTGCATTCACCCCACCCCCGAAAAACCAAGCAAAAGGACCAGTCTGGGCTCTTTGGGGCAGTGGGTTGCCAGCCTCCAGGTGGGGCTTGGAGATCTCCCAGCATTGCAACTGAACTCCAGCTGACAGGAATCAGCTCCCCTAGAGAAAATGGGTGGTGCTTTGGAGGGTGGACTCTGTGACACTGTACCCTGCTGAGGTCCCTCCTCTCCCCAAACCCTGCCTGGCCTGGGGTCTGTCCCCCAGAACTCCAGGCATCTCTCAACCCAGAGCTGGCCAAGGAATGCCTTGAGGGTGGTGACTCCAGGGCCCCAAGACCTATAGGAGTCACTTCATTGTCTTTCTCTTTGGCCAGTATAGCTAGGAGTATTGTGAATAAGCTGTTTTCTCAAGATTTTTTTCCCCCATCCCAGGCAGACTGGGCTAGGTTTCGGTAGCACCATGGCCCGGGTGGGAGGCATTGTTGCCCCGCTGGCAAAGATGACGGAGGACTACTTTTCCCTCCTGCCACCGATTGTGTACGGAGCAGCTCCCATCATTTCTGGCATCGTCGCTTGCTTTCTGCCGGAGACGCTTAACATCCCTCTACCGGATACCATTGAAGAAGTGGAGAGCAGGTCTGTTACTTTGTGAAAAGCATCTGTGGGAAGAGGGTGGGGCTTCTTGCGTTTGAATGAAGGTAGCCAATAACAGGTCTTGCATTACGGCAGCCCCACCCATTTCCTGAAAAGTTTGATGGGTCAGTGCCAAGGGAAGTATTGGCAAGCTGCCATGGTACCCACGAGCACCAGATTGGGAGGCCCTGATCTACACTCTCATCCTGACTCCTGAGAGGAAAGCCAGCTGGCTATGTAGAAGAGTAAAACCACCATCACGGCAGCCACCCGGGGAAACAGCACCCTGGCCACAGTGAACTTGGTAGTGGTATCTACTTCCCTTTGACCACAGCTAGCTTGCTCTCCTTTGGGCACCTTGGCAATCTCTAGCCTCAGCTACTGCACCTCACGCTGTGGAGAAAGTGAAAAGGTAGAGAGGGAGGGAACCTCTTTCGTTGACTCCAGGTACACAAGGGCTGGCTAAAATTTTGACAGTGGTGGGGAGGAAGA